ATAATGTTTGAGAGGGTGCATCATTTTTTTGATTTTCTCCCAGAGGACAATGACAGTTTTTCTTGTACTTTTAAAGTATCCACAATAACATTAGTTATATGGGTTATGGGGTTTATTTCCTTTCTCACTGAATAAAAGAGAAAATATTTCCCCAATTTTCTAAAATTTATACTTGCCACATAGGCACAACCAAATATGTCCAAAATTTATACAACACTAAGAGATCCTGTCCTGCGTTTACTTGCCCAAACTACCCCAACCATTATTCTATTGTGATATAAAACACATTTATTTTGGGAGATTTCTGACACCTTTGTAATGTGTATTGTCCTTCTTCCATATCTGTGCCTGGTTAGTAGGCAGGGAATCTAAATTCCCTAGGAAGCATATTATCTGAAACTTACTATCTGTATATGCCACAATGTTTAATTTTTTTCTAAGTTTCCCCTCATCTTCTTTGTCGATACCTATTTTTAAAAGTCATTATTGCCTTCCAGCTGTCCAAATTTTCTTCTCGTTTTTCTCTTAAAAACTGACTAAAAGCAGGAGGTCAATATCTCAGCCATCATTAATTTCACGCCCTCCTCTTCTCATTTATTCACTGGTCTTTTTTCTCCTGAAGATCCCTCTTTTTTCCTTGATACATTTATAAAAGACCTTCTTACTCCATCTAACCTCTTTTACTAGCAATATCTCATTTCGCACTTTTGTGCTCCTTATCTTTTCTTTGCTAACTTTAAGTTGTTCTGTCTATTTTTATATAGTTCCTGCCTTCTCCACTCCCAGGGTAATTGTCCTGTTATACACGGATCTTGAGCAGCCATTGGGGATGACAGACTGCATTTTTACTAGGATTCTAGACGCAGAGGGGCCCTGCAGCCCCCATGCTCTGCCCAGTTCTTTCACTGCCACAGAGTAACGGAGGCTTTTGCACTTTAATGATATTGTCTTGGGCTACTTCACACCTATCTCCAATTATGAATCTTAATACTCCCATTGTATCATACATATTAGATTTCCTCCCAATGTGTTTTTCAACTAGGGATAGTACCTTGTAGGGTTGTTATCAATGATCACATTTCTAAATAGTCAGCGGAGAGAATGAAAATGATTTACTCTATTAGGGTGAGGTCATTTGCATACTGTTAAGTGATTTGCATGCTGACAGATCCTACAATTGTGTTTCAGCGGCTTCCCCTCATTTCTCCCTTCCTAACAAGGTGTAGCTTATTTTGCTCACTATAAAATTGTCCTTTATTTTTCTCTCTCACGCCATCCTCTCCCACTGGAGAATAACACCCACTAACACAAGCATGACATTGCAAGGTAGTCTATCTTCTGAGCTAATGTTCTCTTTGGCATAATTCATCAACCCCTCTGACTTTTCAGGGATGGTGACAATGGTGACTCCCCTAATATCTGAATGAAGTCCTTCATAAATATTTTGCTGAGTGATTGATATCTCCTCTAGTTATTTTTCTCACACCTCTTCCCCCTCAGTATATAACAGATGGGATTCCATCATCAGAAGATCAGAAGCAGATGTTGTGGAAAAAGTACCAGGAGCCCAGAAGCCCTTGTTCCAGCCTCAGCTCCCCCATTAACTACCTCTGCCATCTCCACAAGTCACTTCACCTCTCTGGGCCTCCGTTTCCATGTCTGTAAATCGAAGATGAAAATGCCTTCTTCAGAGGCATACTAAGGTGATCAGAAAAGATACATTTACAAAAATGCTTCCTAATATAAAGTAGTTTGACACTTGGAATTTTGATAACTCTTAGCTAAATCATGTAGGCTTTTCAAAATCAGATGAAATATGAAGTATTTGTTTCACCCATCCCCCTTATTAGCTTTTCATACTAATAAATAAACACACTTCTAGGAAAGTCAGTTACATTTTGAGAAATTCCGAATGACAAATTGTCAGACACTGAACAAAAGGATCATTTTAACCACTCCCACCTCCATCCTCCTCCATGTCTCATTAGCAAACATATTCTCCACCTTAATTTATGTAACTTATGAGGGACCCTGAAGGGAGAGGCAGGGCTCTAGCTTGATTTTTTGACTGAGCCTCATTCATTGCAGTAAGGTGTCAGGGCTGCCTGAGGATCTGGAAAGCATTTTGGAAGTAAGAAGCAGACAAATGTAAATCTTTTAAACCCTTGTGATAAGCAAACTCTCCTCAGTTCAACATATAAATATAAACACTAAATCAAATCAGATGCTTATACATTTTTTAATCCCATCATAAAACATTTTGTTTTGACAGCTTGGTAATGTAAAGTAAAAACACCGACAGCCAAAAGAATCAGCATCTTTGCCTGCCTACTACCTGAAAGTCTTTCCTGTATATAAATAGAAAAAAAAAAAGAAAGTATGTTTATGTAAAGGGAAACACTGATTTACTAGAACTGATTGCTTCATAGTCTAATTACTTTTCAACTGGCTGTTCCAAATTAAGATGTCATTGATGGCTTTTGGTGATATATTTCATTTTAAGCAAATTTATTCTATAATAGAGTACATCATAATGGAAAGCAGAGTTCCTACTCTTCCCTCCTCTTTGTAGCCTGATATCTTGACAAGTAAATTAAATTTAGCAGTTAAAATGCTTCCATTAGTAATTTTATTAAGTTAATTAAAGAATCTCTCTTTCTGAATTTTAACTACCTTCCTTTCAGAACAATGGTGATTTCTTTTTTTCTTTTCTAATTTCATGTATTTAGGGACTGTGATATATTCTAGGACCAATCAACCACTCTATCAATACTACATTTCTATGGGCAAGATGCTACCAAGCAAATCAAGTAAAAAGAAAAAAAAAGAACTCCAAAGTCTGAAAGAGAGGGTCTGTTTCATATCACAGAAAGGGTTTTAATATATTTAAAAGAAGGAGGAAAGAGGAGGAGGGGGAGAGAAACAGAAAGAGGAAAATATACTTTTTAAGTTATCTATGTTCTTGGGAAAAAAAACAGAACTGCTAACTAGTGTCTCCACACATACAGGGTAAATCTTAAAATGGTTGGGGTAGAATTTAGTTCATAGAAAAATTCCAACCCTTTTATTCTTACTTAGTAAGTGTACAAGTATTACTAAGCAAGATACTGCAATTGGTGAAGCACAAGTTAAATGAAATCTTGGGCCCTCTCCAGGGAGCGGTATTTTGAAAGAACCCAAATACTTCTAAGAGATTTAGGGCAAAAAGAGTTGCCTTATTGACCACTGCCTGCTTCTTGTGGTTGGTGTCCTTGAACTCAAGAATTATAGAAATTATTTTTGGAACTGGAAGGGAGCATAGAGAAAATGTTATCTTACCCTCCTATGTTAAAGATAAGGAAACGGAGGGCCAGAAATTAGTAATACCACCACCACCAATAATAATAATAGCAGCTCTAACAAAGGTGACTAAATATTTATTTAACTCATCACTGTGAAGCATCACATACATTATCTCACTAAAAAGCCCCAGAAGGGGAATTCTTTGTATGTCCCAACATTATAGATATGAGAAATAGTGCATAACAAAGATTAACTTGTGCAAAATCTATGCGACTCCAAAGTCCCGTGCTATAACTAGTACACATCATTACCTGAGATGAATGACTCGGGGTCATGCAACTAGTTAGTGAGTGCTTTCCCCAGGGTTAGAGTTCAGGAAACCTGCTTCCCAGCTCTGCTCTTTACAAACTAGGCCATATAAGGAGGACTGGAAATCCAGTGGTTGTGCTGAGGCATGGGCATTGAGAAGACAGGATGATTTACTTTAAAAGGAATCCCACTGCCAAGGTGCCTGATAGAATATTTGCGTTATGGGTGAAACCTTATCAATGTCTGCATTCATGTGTTCAGACCCAAAGTGACATTTCATCTAAAATTTGGGATCCCGCCTTTTACTCATTCATTGATGAAATGGAGATCCAAGAATACAGTCATGGTCATTACTATCAATACCTCCCAACGTCTCTCATTTTCGAACACCCTCCCCATCCCCTTGAACAGCCCACTCTGGGAGTTCGCATGCTCACTGTTCAATCCCCATCATCCCTGTGGGGATTGAAGTCACTCCAAGTGACTTCAAGTCACTCCACCACTCGGCCAAATCCTCGTGATCCATCCTTGCTGAGTACAGTCCTTCACAGTCACACCTCAGATATCACCCCACCAACTTCTGCTCTTTTTCTCCGGGGGGACTGAATGCCTTTCATAGCTATGTTCCAAGCTGACTGCTTTTCTCATGAGAACAGGTCACCATGGCTTTTTTTCTTTCTATTCTTTCCCCATTCTTCAGATTCTGTTTCCAAAAAAAAGCCCAAGAAAGGAATATGGCAACTCACAGATGCTTCCTGGCAGAACAGAAAAGATGAAGCCACAAACTACGTGATAGGCCAGAAGAGAGACAAGACTGAGACCGCTTCATTCATATATGTTTTCCTTCCCTCCTTTTTCACACCAGGAAAAGCTAAAATGCAGATGTCTACCCCAGATGATCTTTGTGTATTCGGAGAGCCCAACCCCTCTTCTTCCTGCCTCCCTCCCTCTCTCCCAGTTCCTTCCTTCTTTTCCTTCCTTTCTTTCTTTTCCAACATCTAGATTAAACAGGGATTAAGAGCTTTAGCACCCTTTGCCCCTGATTTGATCCCATGTCATCCCGGATATAGGTTTTCAAGATAGCACTCCATGGTTTCTGAAGCACAAGAAATTGGCAAATGTTCCTGGAACTGCTTTTATGGAGGATATTTCCTTTATTAAGCATACCCCTCTCCCCAAATGATGTCTTTAGAAAGAATCTAGCATTCTGCAATATTTCTATAATTAATAGCTAGACCGACAGACCCAGAGGAAAAAGAGACTGGGTCATCCATTGTTTTTCTAATTAGAAATGGTACTCCCTGCCCTGACCCTTAGCTGAGGAAGAATACTACCTTTAGCCTGGAAGCATGTTTTCTATTTACCTGACCACACAGCAAACATGTTTTCATTAGAAATTTACCTCTTACCTCCTTCATATCCTGCCAGTCACATTGCATCTATTCTTTGGTGAGGACCCTTTTCGATGATTTTGAGGATCTTCTTCTTTTTTATGTGGAGTTCCAGTCCAGTAGTGAAATCTGTTTCATATGTGTCATCAGTTTTCGGGTCTGGAAGGAGCCCAAATTGGTAAGTTCCTGGGAGTAAAAAAAGAAAAAAAAAAACCAGAACAGAATTTAATTGCAACCTGAGCTTATAGAAGATGAGAGAAGATAACTCAAAGGGGAAAGACCTGAAAAATCAACACTATGTCCTCTCCTCCAACCCGAGTCATTCTGGCCCGCCTTTCAAGCTGGACAGATCAATTCAATGTATAGAACCACAAAAGAGCCATTGGGATTGTGAAATTATGTGGCAAAATTCCTATTAGTTGTCACGTGAAAAGAAGAATGTGCGATTTTAAAATAAAATACCAGAGAAAGAGATAACAAGTTTGATGTAGTCAATGTAGCTGGCCACAGCTGTGAAAGATTCGATAAGCTTCTTCTTACTTGTCCTTCACCCTGGAGGCTTCTGAAGAGGCCTGAATATCTGGCTTACAATGAGTGATGCTACTTGAAATGAAAAGCAAGGAGATTGCAAATCACTCTTCTGCACAGGCATGGAATAAGCTATGGCATGGCTGATGGACAGATTCAGGTATTTAAGTGAGTGTGATTTCCAAGCAACAATTTCTAAACCCTACATTATCATTGACCTCCATCACACGATTGGACATGTTTACGAAGGTACACACAGCAGAGTGAAATTCGCTGGGAAAAACACTGAAGTCATTTTCCAACACCACAGCAGTATTTCTGCAAAATGAAGCCATGTTAACCCAGTCCCCAATATGGTCCACCTTTGCACTCTTCTGCTTAATGGTCTGAGTCCATTCCATCAAAGGAACTTTCTGTTTCAGGAATCCAGCTATGAGTTTGGTTGGAAGAAACCAAATGAGGTAAGTAATCTGATGTATGTGCTCAGTAAAGCTAAGTAAACCAAGAAAGGACTTGAAGACATGTACTTGAATAAACGACTTGAAGAAAAGACTATACTTTTGTCTTTCTATTTCTTCCTCTCTTTTTTCTTACAGGCAAAGATATCAGGATGGTGAAAACTACCCCAAGATAATTTTTTCCCTGTGATTTGATTGGCCAGGAAGCAAAAGCAAAGCACCCAATTAGCAGCCTTTTAAATCAAACACAATTAACTGTACACTGAAATAGATGGTCTACAATTGCATGTTCAATTAAATAGCTGGAATCAACTGAAAGCCTCAATTGCACACTACAAGCTACATAGGTCTGTTCATATTTCCTACTTCTTCATGAAGGTCCAAGACAGATACTTCCTCAAAAATTAAAAGCAGAAATTTTTGTTGTCTAGTAAGCACTCCTTAAAACCTTTATTGTAAATTAAATCAAATATTTGCATTAAATCTTTTCTTGAGGAAAGCAGAGGCAGGGGGTGGGGTGGTGGTGGGATGAATTGGGAGATTGGGATTGACATACATACACTAATATGTATAAAATAGATAACAAATAAGAACCTGTTGTATAGCACGGGGAACTCCACTTCGCTGCACAGTAGAAACTAACACAACATTGTAAAACAACTATACCCCAATAAATAAATAAATACATAAATAATAAAATTTAAAAAATAATCTTTTCTTGAACCTTGTCAGAGAGAAAAATCAGAACACTACTAAAAATGGAAAGACTATTTTTCATGATTGCTAGTGCAATGGCTGTCTCTGTTCCAGCCTCACACTGTCTCTAAATTCCATCGAATCATTTCTGGGGACTCCCACTTCATCTAGTCCCAAGTTATATTCTGTGGTGTATTCCATACACATATGCAGTTCTACTTAGGCCAGTTGAGGTTATTTCCATTTGAACCATTGGTGAGAAAATAGTGTTGATAACAGCCATTAGGTAGCACAGCTATCTACAATTATAGCCATCCCAATTGCTAGCGATCTAGTGGTGAAAATTTCCACATTCCACTTAATCGTATAATGATTTATATATACATCTATTGGACTATAAGATACTCCAAGGCAGAGACCATCTTATACATCTTTAAATCATTACAGCATCTGCCATAATATTGAGTATATTGGTCTTAAATGGTGAAATAACAGCATGAATGAATGAAGCAAGGAATTAATATTTAAATACAGGCAATGATTACTTGTGTTACAGTCACAGTATACAGAGAACTGCCTGGAGGAGTTTTCAGAGAGCAACAGAGAAGCTTGGCTGACTATTCTTGGAGAACACATTGACTGTTGGATGGAGACAGTTCACCAAGAAAGCAGATTTTGACCCTTCAAGAACTTCAATGTGATGATGAGTTTATGACAGTTCTAAAAGCCAACATACGGTTGGTGGCCAGGTTGTGGTTCTGGACTGAGAGGCTTCCATTTGGAAGGCAGACAAGCATTTGAATTATGGGTCTAATGAAAGTGTCAATAGCAATCCTGTTACTGGAGGAGCTGTAAAACCCTGCTTAATGAACTAGGCAGGGACACAAAAACACAATGGTCTAAAATGTACTGTATGAGAAAATGATAATTAGCCCAGATTTCATGTACAAGATAAAATGCATAGGGATAATATTACCACTGAGCAATATTATTGCCCTTCAGGGGACTGTTTTGTTAACAGGGTTTGGCTCAGCCTTTCCCATCTTCCTTGTGTGAGTGGAGATGTACTATACAATCGTGAGCTGTGAGTCAGGGGAAAGAATGTCAGATGTCAAAATTCCCATCAGAGATACTGACAAATGTTAATGACAGAAAGAAGTGTTCTGGCCTCATCAAGAGTTCATTCTTATTTAGGAGGCTTTATGCCATATAGGATGATAAGCCAAATGGCTTCCCATGCAAGAGGAATGGGGGTGAACTAGAAAGTCATTCTCTAACCTTGAAGTCTACTTTTCTAGACCACCAGACATTAACCAGCAAAGTGAGGCAAGACAAGGCCACACCTGGAGGGGACAATTTGGACCATAGCTAATTACTCCCACGTGACGAATTAGGGAGCTACTGAGGCAGCCCCGAGTATAGAAGGAAACAGTGAACTTGCAGTCAGGGAGCTGAGATTCTGGCCTTAGCTCTGTACGAACTCCGAATCTGAACTTTCTCATCTCTTCCAAAGGTGAATTAGAGTTCAAAAATTTTAAGGGGCTTACAAATCACCTGAGGATTCTGTTAAAAATACAGATTTTGATTTAGAAGTCTGCACTCTTCACATAACTTGTAATGCAGTTGGGGTGAGGAGAAGGTGGAACAAGATATTTTTAAAAGCAAGGGGAAAATAATGTATTTTCTAAAATGCTAAATTATGGAGAATATAAGTTGTAAGAAATCAAGAGAAGAAGGAGGTCACCCTGGACTTGGGTCAAGGGTGGATTCATGGAGAAAGGCTGGACGTGGGCCTGAAGTTCATTCATTCACAACCGATTTGTATGGCCGGCCGAGAAAGAAAGTTGGACAGTCAGTAGACAGATGAGGTGAGAAGATGAAGGGTCTTAAAGAATGGTGAAAGTGATCAGTGTTTGTTTTTGAGAATAAAAGGATCAGCAAGAGTATGTAGTGCAGACCAGGAGAAAGCAACATATGGGAAACTATTTTTCATCTTCAGCATATATTGGGCACCCAAAATCCATACTGCCAGCAGGGTGGGGAAAAGGGAGCAAGTGTTGCTAAGATAACCTAAAGGCAAATCATGTAAAAGCTAAACTTCCAGCCAGACAAAAGGCTATTTTTAAATTACTCCAGTTAATTTCCCAGGTCGTGATTGGTGATTGCCGATTGCCTCTCTCTGCAAAGCGGTTTATGACATTCTCAATTAAGAATTTGCTATAAAAATGAATGAATGAAGTATTTCAAAACTGCTATGAGATATTAAAAATGAGTCACTTTTAAAAAGTGGTTTTGTTTCCTGTGTTCTGGATAATGCATTTGAGAATGTAGTTTCCAGCCTCACCCATAACACCATTGTGAAATCAAATTGAATGACTCTCTGCTCTTAGAATGATCCCTCATTCAAATGCATTCAATAAATAAAGCCCAAACACAATGAGGCACTTTTCATAGAGCATCCCTGAGAGCTAGGGCCTGGTCTCTCTCACCATATGAAGCTGAGATTGAAGTAAATGAAGCATTCACCCACACTGACTGCATAATACATTGTTTACTAAGCTCTTGCATGTACACTATCTCATTTGATCCTCACAACAACCCTACAAAAACAACACTGTTGGTTTATTATCCCCATTTAACAGATGTAGAATTTAGAGCTCAGAGTGGTCAGTGACTTGCCCGAAGTCACACAGCAATCCAAAAGGTACTTTAAACCTTCTCAGCCCCTTCCTTCTCTCCTCCCCAGAACAGGAAACATTTTTAAGTACAAAACAATATAATTAGTAGAACTATTACGAAAACTGGGCAGAATATTTAATTCATTCAGATGAATTTTGTAATCCTCCGGTGATTTTGTAAATACCGAGGAATTCATTTTCCACCTCCTGCAATTCTGTGAATTCTATCCTGGACAAAAGGTCATCCAAATATGATCCTTGCTCAGAGTTATGGAAATGTATGCAGTCTAAAAGAATATGGGCCAAATGCAGAGTAAAAATATCAGTGAAACTCCCAGTGCCATTTTCTCTTGCTGCCTCAAATCCTTTTTGAAATTAGGCAGGTTATAAATCATAAAAAAAATAAAAATGCAAACTTTTGCCCTAAATTCAATTATCATATATTAGAGGGGGTCATGAGTGCAGTAGATTGCAGAGTGAGTAAAACAAGACTGAAATAGGTATGGTGGGAAAGCCAGAGACAGGTAGAAAGAATTTTTTTGAAAAAATTTTCAATTTACTTACATCCATAGAACATACTGAAAATTATCTGAAAAGCAATAGAAAATACAATTTTCTCAAAGTCAACATCTTTTCAGTCTCTAGTCCTACTCAGCTGGAATTTGGTTTAGGGAGTGCTACTGAACCAGGTTCCTTCTGCCCAACGCACAGCAAGCCAAAACACTGAGATGCCGAGGTTTGCAGCAAAGAGAAGGTTTATTTGCAAGGCAGCTAAGCAAGGACACAGCAGGACGAGTCTCAGACTACCAAAGGCAAGGGGC